GTGGCTAATAAACCCGAGTGGAGGAAGTATTTGCGAAGCGCAAATACGGAAGCGTCACATACCCTGAGCGTTAATGCGTCCAACCCACCATGGCCGAGACAACGGCGACCGACTGAAACGGAGCCGAAGGTAGCACGGTTGACGGTGGAGGGCACACACAAATCGAGCCAGGGCTAGAGACGCCGAGGCCGGCCGCGATGTCGCCATCCATAGAAAGATAAGAATGAAATGAAGACGGAGTTTTTCGCAAAAAAAAAAAAGAAGAAATGAAGACGGGGTTGACATGGCTGGATTGTGTCATTGTTGGCTTATGCGAGATGGGAATAAGCAGAAGATGACAATACCACGAATCAAAGAATGTGGCCGACCGGTGGCAACTTCGGCTGGCTGCCTTGTGACCGCCTGTGGCCAACTGTTTGGCATGTCTGGCAGGGTTCTTGTGTGTTTGCTGGTTGGATGCAATGAAATAGAAGTCGTTTGCTCGAAGAGAAGTGTCACGATGACGGTTTATGGGCAACCCCGAAGGTGTTTCTTTCTCCGGTGACATTTGTGGGTATTGTGGGTAGCCACGTCAGCTAGTAATGCCCTCGGTGGACATGCTGTATATGATAATTTTCGCCCGTCCGATTTTGCGTAATTAGCTGGGCAATTCTCCTTTTCTTGCTTTAGCTAAATGGATATAGCCTTTTACACAAATATCCAGCAGCCTCTTTCGGGGAAAGAAAGAAGGAAAGGAAAATGAGTTTATGAGAAAGTGGGTAGTAAATTCATGTTTCCGTTCTCTCCTTGTGTCAGCTGAAGCTGATCTGCACTATAGGATTTGCTGCATGTGTTCTTTAGAGCAAGTAAAATAGAGCTGAGTCAGCTGGCCATAAGAAATAAACTAGTATATTCTTGCTTAGTTGGAGGAGAGAGAAGAGGAGAGAAAAGGTAAGCGGGCTCTTGGTGAAGAGCCAGCTCTAGCACGTGCTCCTAGGCACTTTGTGAGAGTGAAAGGTGGGCCATATAATAAAAAAGTAGTACACTCTTTAAATCAATTATTGTACATATTGACTATAAGATGGGCTATAAGTGACATGGCAGTGGCTTATAGCCAACAATTGGCTATACTATTAACCATGCTCTTAGGCTCGTTGATCTGTACTTCCATCTTCCGATCTTGGTCAGAGAGAAAGCAATTTCGGCACAACAACTCACAAGTTTATACAGGCAAGTTCTGCAATGGCTGCATCTCGGATCGGATTCCGAGTTCGGCAAGGGGTCGCGTGGAGACCGGAGAGCAAGGCGGCCCATAAGTGCACGTTCACCGAGCAATCTTTGAACCCGCTTTGCTCAAGTCGACCTGATGATGACCGCGAAGAAGCCAAAAAAGGAAGCAAGAAAACTGACGGCGCGGTCGCCGCCGACGAACATCACCGCGGTGAAGATGGCTCTGCCGGCCCGCGACGACTACGAGTACCTAACCCCAGCGCTGGCGCTGCCCCCGGGCGTCTACTTCAACCCGACGAACGAGGAGATCGTGCGCACCTACCTCAACGGGTGGATCGCCGGGCACGGCACGTCGGGCGCGGAGGCGGCCGTCGTCATCGAGGACGACGTCTACGGCGACCAACCCGACGTGCTGGCGCGCAGGCACCCGCCGGCCAGCACCCGCGACTCAGACCCCAGCTGGTGGTTCCGCTGCCACTGCAAGGTGCAGGCCACGCGCGGCGGCGGCGGCGGCCACCGGGGCGACCGCGGCGTCGCCACGGGAGGCTTCTGGAAGCTGGAGCAGACCACGAAGGAGGTGAGGTGCGAGGCGGACGGCGAGCACCTCGGGTTCAAGCGCACCTTCGGGTTCTACGTCGAGCACGAGGGGGAGAAGGAGAAGACGCGGTGGCTCATGGAGGAGTACACCAACGTCGACTCGCCGGACGAAGGCGCCGTTCGCAACGACGGCAGGAACGTCCTGCCCGCGCTCTACAGGATATACCTCACCCCACGCGATCCCGGCAAGAAGAGGAGGAAGACGAGTGGCAGAGATGTCGGGGACGACCACGTCGATGGTGGGCCTGTGAAGGCTGCCCGCGTGATGGTTCCGGAGGCTTGCTTACACGCCATCGCGGCGTTGCTGTCGCCGTCGAGCGCTCGTGGTGCCGGCCAGGAGGAGCCGCACGGCAGCTTTGAAGCGCCGCCGCCGCCACCTTCGGGCGTTTTCAGTGAGTACCGAGGTGATGAGGCCGCGACGTCGGACGATGATCAGAGCATGACGATGAAGGAGAATCTCCTCGAGGAGGCGCAGGGAAGCACCGGCGGCGACGACTCTCCTGAGCTGCGTGTTCTCGTTACGATGGACGACGGCATGCCGGCGTGGGAGATGGGCATGGGCGGCGGATACGTTTTCGCCGACACGTCTTGGATCGACGAACACTACCAGAACTCGGAATGATCGATCATGACATCCTTTGATTAACTTTTGGTCGGGTGGGAGCGGAGTGGGATTTTTGGTTCACTCCATGGTTTTAATTCAGTTGAACTAAAATCACGACAAGTACGGTATTATGGAATGGAGGACAAGAGCATTCTTTCATTAATTTCTTTTAATTCTTGTGGTGATAATTGGATACGAAGTGTTGTGTGTTAATCAACATCCGTTCCATTTCATAAGGTTTTTTTTTAGCACGGCGACGAACCAAATTATAGAGAATTTAGAATAAAACTACCTTTGACCAATTTGGTTGTTAGTGGCCAATAAATCAGTTAGGTCCGAAAGGAAGAGATACAATCAATCAGGTCATAGATACTTTACTTCTTTTGTCTACATGCAATTGGTTGAGATACTTCCCTATTTTCTGGAGGGCTAAGAGAGGGATTATGAGGAATAATATGAAATGCAACTTAAATTGTGGAATTTTATCAGAAACAAATACATCATATATAAAGGAACGGAGGGAGAATATTAATTCAATTCTTACAATTTTAAATGTGTGAGAAATTTCTACATAAGCAAAAAAAATCCTAACATGTAATAGTGTACATGTCACAATAAATGCAAGGTGATTTAAAACTCACTTAGAACATCTACAACCTTTATCAAACCTTTCACAAACGTCTGCGAACGAGCTCGATATGTCTAGGTTGTCCGCGAACCCTCATATTGAAGACAAATGTAGGAGGATATGAGGCCTTGCAGACTCGGCTTGTCAGTTCGCTACGTAGGACGCGGCTCACCTCGGACCACCTTTTTTTTCGTTATTTACGAGTATGACTGTCTAGACGGACAAATAGGTGCTCAAAATGGACATGTCTTCGTCTCGTTCATTGACTGGGCGCGTCCGCGAGTATTTAGGGGCCATATTTGCTAATTCCGGCTTTTATGCTCTTAGAATGCACTAAGGCATATAGTATGGTAGGGATTCTTATGCATTGATCAAACGGATGTTAGTGGATGAACCTAGTAAATCTGATGGCTAGAACAATTTTGAGGATGTCACAGCATGCATGTTTAGATAATTAGAAGTACCGGATCATTCTCTTATTTGTGTAGGATTTGTTTGTTAGGCTTCATAATTCTTCGAGTATTTGTTTGTGGTTGATAATAAATTGAGATGTACGGAGTGTTTCTGATGACCATTGTTCCCAGATTTTTTTACCAATTACAATAGGGAAAACCTCTACTCATTTGTCTTTTTAATTTATAATTAGTAGTGATAATGTCCAAAAGAGGGGTTTAGATCAAGCTGATGAAATTACTAGGTAAAGAATGGTACATTTCAATGATCCTTCTTACATTATCTATCTAAGATGACATGCCATCCTTCAGACGAGATCTCGTTGTGCCACGCCGCAAGACATCACAACCATCATGCGCGCGTCCATCGCCGAGATCTCGTTGTGCCACGCCGTCGAGACGCGTTGTTGTTGATGCGGTAGATATAACGCCGCTCCACTTCTTGACCCCTCCAGCCAGCACTTGATCAAAAATGATGCCCCGAGAGGGAGAATGACACCAAATGTGCCGTCATCGTCCGATCCGGGAGACCCAAAATCTAGGGTTTCCCCTTGAACAACCCGAGCGATGTGAGACAGACTACAACGACGATGGCAAGGACTTCGCTATAGTCCATCATGACCAAAGTCGGCACAATTTTCATCGGCAGTCTCGTCACTCCGATCCTGTAGCTAACTAAATCCGCGCGGAGCCGCGCCGTAAAGGCGTATCCCAGTGTGGCCGGAAGACCAAGTTAAGATCCGCCCAGCTGCCGACGCGCCGCATCTGCAACCGCGCCGCCCGCAACCCGGTAACCGTGGCCGACCTGAAGACCCAACCAAATCACCAAGGCAAGGAGCCATACAAAAGGACAACAAAACCAGGGTTTTTCATTTGCAGTACATTATCGCATCTCAGAGCAATGTCCATAAATAAAGGGAAATGTTTCGAAACGGCGCGCCGGCTGAACTTTCGGCCGGCCGCTCGCGCTCACACCCAAACACCCGCACATGCAGCACGACCCGCACGCGCAGCCGCATGCAAAGCTGCTGCATGCAAAACTGCTCCCGCACATGGCGGGTTCTACGCACCTGACTCTTCGCAAAATTGTTGCATGCAAAACTGCTCCCGCACATGGCGGGTCCTACGCATCGGGCTCTCTTTTCTATCTTATCTCTTTCCCTTCTTCTACCTCCAACCCACATCGTAGTTTCCCTAATGCTACAACCGTTGTCTCAAATTGCTACAAGCTGCTTCCCACGCAGCTACAACCGGCTTCACGATTTGCTACATCATATGGCCCCGTGTTTTTTCTGCATGTTACCACCGTTGTCACAAATTGTTACAACCGGCGTCCCACACAGTTACATCTAACGTCGCTTGTTGCTACATCGCATGGCCACCATGTTTTTTGCTACATATGACCACCGTTGTCACAGGGATGCTGAAACCAACATCTTTTTTGCTAGATGCTTCAACTGGCATCACAATATGCTACAACCGGCATCGTATTTTGCTACTACCGGTGTTGCATTTTATTACATCGCACATGGCTTCATGATTTTTGCTACAACCGGCCACACAAAAAGCTGCGTCCGGCGACGTGATTTGCTGCAACGGCCATGGCGAAGTTCGATCGCACATGGTGCACCGGTGAGCAGCTCCGACGAGCATGCAGGCGAGCGCGCCGACGAGCATGCAGGCGAGCGGCGGCTTCGGCGAGGAAGCCGACGAGCAGGCCGACGAGCAGCTCAGGCGAGGAAGCTGACGAGCAGGTCCGGCGAGCGGCTCCGACGAGCGCGCCGACGAGCAGCTCCAGCGAGCGGCTCTGACGAGCGCGCCGACGAGCGGCTCCGGCGAGCAAGCTACCGACGGCAACGAGCCTGTACGTGAGGATGGAGGAGGCTTTGACCCACGCGCAAGGGAGGAGATGCAATCTGGACGGTTATTATTACGTGAATCGAACAACTGGGGCTGGACCGGCCGAAAGTTTCGGCCGGTGCGCCGGCGCCCAGTGCTGGCTATAACTAAATGCCTAAACAAATGCTATTACATCTCTAATAAGCATCTACTCCCTCCGTCCGAAGATACTAGTCGAAGAAATGGTTGTATCTAGAAGTATTTTAGTTTTACATGCAACCATTTTTATCCATTTTTATGACAAGTATTTTCGGACGGAGGGAGTAGTATTCTTGTTGCATCTCTACTTATTTGAAACGGCAGTCCACTGAACCATGGATGGATCTCTGTTGCTAAACACACACAAAAGATAGACTTCTAGGCTAGCTATCATCGTGGGCGACCCATGTGGAGAGAGCGTAGAGCACCCTGCCTTTCCACCCCTGCAGCAGCCACTGGTGATCTACGTCGACGAGGAAGTCCTTGTGGTAGTGCTCCCTCACCTTCTCCCTCACCATCCCGACCACCTCCGGGTCCAGCGGCAGCTGCCGGAGCCCCGCCCGCCGGTTCCGCGCCTGCCACTGCCGGTACGTCTCCGGCCGCTCCACCCGGTCCGCGCCCTCGCAGGCGATCACGTTCAGCGCGCCCCGCCCGATGATGTCCCGCTCGATCAGCAGCCGCTCGTCGTTGTCCCGCGGGAGGGTCGCGTCCAGCATGTCGAAGTGCGCCGAGTAGAAGAACATGGCCTCCCTGAACCGCGTCACGAAGAAGGGCGCGCCGTAGCCGCCGTTGGCCACGCCCTCCACGAACACGTCGGGCCTCATGTCCCGGATGTTCCGCAGCACCACGTCCCTCGGGCTCGGGCCGCCGTCCGTGGTCACCGCCACGCTGTCGTCCATCAGGTTGCTCAGGCCGCACTGGCAGTGCACGATGAGCACCTCGTCCGGGTCGATGCGCAGGTCCTCGCCGCGCACGGTGTCCAACTTGGCCGCCACGCCGTGGAACTTGAACGGCACGCCCAGCTCGCGGGCGCAGCTGCTGAGCCGGCGGCCCGTCTCCTCGACCTGGCGCGCCGGGCGGAACCCGGGCTGCGGGAGGTCGATGCCCGTGATCCTCACCTCCGGCGGCCCGCCATCCCTCTGCGCCAGCCACCGCATCAGGCCCGGCCACTGGAGCCCGTACTGCACCCCGAAGTCCACGATGTGCAGGCGGCGCTTCCCGGCCACGGCGTTCAGGATGGTCTTGTTGGCGAACCCGAAGTTGGCCTTCTTGAAGCAGCAGGCCGCCATGAACAGCTTGTACGCCTTGAGGAACTCCACCACCGAGGTGCGCTTGGCCACCAGCGACTGGTAGACCTGGCTCCCCGTGCCCGCCAGCCGCGCCTCCAGCCCCTCCGCGAAACAGTGCGCCAGCCTCTGCGTGGCGTCTCCCGTCGGCCCGGAGTGCTGCTTGATCTGCCTCAGCAGCTCCGTCGCGCCCCGGCTGTCGCCCGCGGCCACGGCCTGCGCGCAGTGGACGAGCATGGTGCGCAGGTCGACCGCCTCGCTCTTCTTCGCGCGCGCCGCCTTCCCGCTCTTCTTCTTGGCCTCGCTGTCCATGACGAGGCGCAGCTCCTCTATCCCCTGTATGCACTTCTCGTACTCCTCTAGCATTATTTCGTCGAACATCTCGCGCGCGCCGGTCTCCTCGTTGTCCGGCGTCATCAGCTTGCTGCTCCTGGCGGTCTCCGCCTCCAGGTCGTCGTCCTCGTCGTGCCTGTACTTGCGGCCCCGGCCATTGCCGGACGTAGGCGTCCTGTTCGCCACCACCTCCTTCTTCTTGACGGTGAAGCCGCGCTCCTTGTCGGGGATGGCCTCGAGGAGGGCGTTGTTGGTCGGCAAGAACTTGTTGGCCTCCTCCATGCCCTTGAGGAAGGCCGAGTTGAGCATGTCCATGTCGCCGCCGTTGCTGAAGAAGGCCGAGAGCAGCCCGTCCTGGCCGCCGTCGCCAGCGGAAAACATCGCCGGCTTAGTCTCGGCCTCCTTCTCCTCCGCCGGGCCATTCAAGACTGCCGAACTCTGGGTGCCCGGGCTGCCGCCGTTCTGGCCGGAGAACGCGCCGGCCCAGTCGGCCGCGCCCTTGAATTGCGCCGGACTCTGCTGGAACCCGGCAGCCGGGGCGTCAGCAAGGAACGAGACCCTGGCATCCTCGTCGGCGGGGGAGTCGGGGACGAGGCCGCCGAACAGCATGTCGTCGAGGCAGGGTGGGGAGCGGAGGAGCTGGGAGAGCTCGAGCGGGTCGTAAGGCCAGCTCGAGTTGTTGGTCTCCTCGGAGGAGGACGTGGCGGCGTTGCCGTCGGAGGAGGTGGTGCCGTTCGGCGAGCCGGAGGAGGTGGTCGTGGTGTCGGATATGATCTGCTCATATGGGCGCTGGGCGTCGAGGATGGCGGGCTGGTCGGGGTACTGGTAGAAGAACTTGTCGTCGATGTCCTCCTCCATGAGCATGCGCGAGATGAAGTCGAGGTCGACGTCGCCGGCGGGGGGCGGGGTGGGCGGCAGGTCGAGGAAGAGGGACGGCGAGAGCGCCTCGAACTCCTCCGGCGTCGCGTCCATGGCTGGCAACCTCTGGCTTAGGTGAAGTGCGACGAGTGTGGAGCTATGGATTGACTGGTCTGGATGAAGACATGGATGGAGCTACTGGGGTTGGGGGACGGACGGACAGGGGTTGGGGGGTATAAAAATGGCGGCTCTGGGCTTGAAAGTCCAACCGGAGCGAAGGTTCGTGGAAGGGAGGGCGCGGCCCGGCACGGAGACTAGAACGCGACCGTGGCCGAGGCGACGGAGGAGGAGACGGCATGCGATGCGATCCAACGCGAGCGCTGCTATGCGGACGATAGATGGTGGCCGGTTCTTGCACGACATATGTAATCAAGCCAGCCAAAACTGTGGCACGCTAATGGATTCGTCGTCGTCTAGTTTTCGTCCAACGAATATCGTACGGTGGGACGAACGCACGTAATCTTTTTGGCACTCCATGCAATATCCAGGGAATTTTTGTTGAAAAGGACAACCTGTCCAACGAAATTGTCAGAAAAAACCCTCAAAAGACGGCAGCAGGCGTGCCGGCCGACACAAAGCACCTGCCGCCATAGTGTAAAGGCGGCAGCTCCTGACACCGAATCGTTACGGAACGGAGGCCGGTGGCGGCCAGACTGTTAGCTGCAGCAAGACTCGATGCATGCATGTGCTAGTACGTCGTGGCCTCGTGGACAGCTAGCTTTGCCATGTATGCATTGCTAAGCGAACCAATTCATCAATTAGTGTACGAAATTGCTTCACACACGACACTTGATGCACGATCAGCAAACGACACTTGCTCCCCAACCGCGCTAGCATCAGCTAAGGAAAAAACAATTGCTTCCTGCGTTCACAGGCAGCTGCCAAGTAAGATCGTGCAAGAGTCAGCCACAGATATGTCGTCTGTATAACAGCGCCGATTAGTGTATGCACGATACAAGCCTTTGTATTTTTAAATTACGTGCATGTATAACCTGTATTTAGAGCATCTACAATCGGACGCCTTAAACCCGTCTTAAATGTTCGGGCAGGCCGTCCGGTCGCTGTCCGGTCACGAAATTTGGATCTAGATGGACCCCTCAAATGGGCCTCAAACGCCCGCGCTGACCGGCACCTCCCATATCCAGCCCAAATATGGGGCGGATATGGGGCGTCTGGGCGCGCCCGGGCACGCCCGTCACGTGGGGCCCGGCCCATACTGGCCCACCAGACCCCACTTATATTCATTCCCATCCTTTCGCCGGACCAAACCCTAGTCACTTCACTCCATTCCCCTCCGCAACCGGTGCTCACCTCCGGCGGTTTGCGACCTTCTCCGCCATGGCGGGCAGCGGATCGGACTCCGACCAGTCCGTATCTGTCGACTGGGGTGTCGTCCCATGTGGTTTGACGGAGGCAATGGGAAGACAATGCCCGGCCGACGGAAGGATCCGTCCGCCGCGACGCCATAGCGTCGGCTCACCGGACGCTCGGGTCCTCTGGTGCTGGATCCTCGCGGTCCCGGCCAGAACACCTCTCCTTCCCCAGCACCGGTCGGGCAGAGTACGAGTCCCCCCGGGACGGGCGGCCCGCAGTGGGAAGGAGAGGATAAGGGCCGTCGAGGCCCATCTCGCAGTGGAAATGGCAGCGATGAAGGCGGCTGAAGCGGCAGCACGGGCGGCCGCAGAGGAGGAAGCCATCCGCGCCCGCATTGTGAATAAACAACAGCGGAGGAGCACGCGCGCCCTTGCCCGTGAGCATAATCGGGCTGTCCGTGCCATGCCGGGACCGCCGCCGAAGGAGGAGAAGGAGGACAGCAACGGCGAGGACAGCTCCGGCGACGAGCAGATCCGGCTCGATCCGTACTACGTCTTCGACCGGTACTTCCGCGAGAAGGACGACAAGGGCGCCGGGAAGGGCAAGGGCAGTCGTGGATGAACTTCACCATAGCCAAACATGCCAAATTTTGATAGTCCGATGGCATGTTTAGTGTAGTGTGATGGAGTAGCCGGACGATGCGTGTGAATCGACATAGTTGCATGAGTTTGTATGAATTTGAGATATGGTAATTGAGATGTTCGGATGTGGATTGCATTTTTTAGGCGTTTGAGGGGTCAAATTTGTCAAGTCCGGCTGTAGATGCTCTTAAGAGCAACTCCAACCGGGCAGGTGGTCTTTTTCGACAAAAATTGATATCCAGCAACCTAACTCGCGGCATGCTGAGTTGGTTTCCACGAAAGTGCAGTGAGCTCTAGCCTCCAGAGTTGTGACAGACATATTCGGTCGTTATTGGGCGACCCGGAGCCGTCCGATCCGACCAAAACCACAAAAAGCAGAGTGCACTACAGAACGGGTCAAATGTTGGCATTGTAACCTTGGCGTCCCAAAGAAAAGATTTGCGAGGAAAAGTTATCTGGTTTTGTATGCAACCAATTGCGTCCACATCAGATGATGCACTGACCAGCCCGAGTGATCGATCTGGCTAGCCAACTTGTGTGCAGGTGCTTGGAGAGCAATCCGGTGGAGTCTAGATCAAGCCAGGTTCCACTTCCTTGTTGGTCCTTGCAGAACAAGACAGATAATTTGTAATTAAGCAAGGTGATTGTTTGACTTCTGATTACCGCACGTGCTTGACCTCTTCTCAGTGTCTTGATGCTTCTCTTGTATTTGCCCGTACGTGGTGTGGCCAATCAAGCGGTTCCATGACCTTACATGAGCTATAGCCTATGACATCGATCTACCACCATTTTATCGAAGAAATATCGATCGGCCATGAGAGTTGCTTTCACCTTTCCCTCTCTCTTCTCTGAGATTCCTTTTCTCGGTTTTGTTGAAGCACACAGAATACCTTATCCGGTCAAAGTCCACAGGCAGCAAGGACTATTTGTGAACAACAAAGCCACGTCAGATGGCGGTTCGTCATGAGACTTGGGACATGGGATTGGCTAGCTCGTAGTCGTATCTGTTTAGAAGAGAAATCAAATGATGGAACGATCTTTCTCATTGATTGAAGACCGGGTATTTATACCCACTTTACAAGGCAGTTAGGATTATTAGGATTAAATTAATCCTTAACACTCCCCCTAATCTATGCTAGTCTAATACTCCCTCTTTCCGGTTTATAAGGCTTATATCAAATTTTTCGTTTTCCTGATTTAAAGGACTCATCTCCAACTCCTATTGAGATTCCGAGGCGCATTAAATCTTTGCATGCAATAATTCAAAAGGAACTCACCAGTGCATGCAATGTTCCTACTCATCTAGTGGCCAAGCATGCATGTAGTGTAATTAATCCACATTAATGCATTAGTTTAATTTGGGTAGTTTTATAAAGTACGAGATATATTCCTCCACTCATCATCTGCCTTGATAGATGAGATTTCAGATTTGAGCCCGATAAACCGAAAAGGAGGGAGTACGCATCATTTTGATAAAGACTCCTCCGAATATGTGTTTGCCTTGAGAATGTTCATCGTCTTCATTTTGAGAAAGACTCCTCCAAAAACCCTGTGGGAAAAATATGAGGAAAATTGTATTTGATATGTTGCTAAAACTCCATTAAACCCAATAGAAAAAATAAGGAGAAAATGATGCAACATATAATGATTATTGTCTCTTGATAACCCATATGAGAAAAACCTTTGAAGAAGGATAAAACTCATTAGTGAGTTTAGAGAACAATAAATATGTCTTGAGTACTTCCTTTAAAAAACCCGATAGGGAAAATAGAAAGCATGCCATATGATCTTTGAGAAGATATTGCCTCATTAAAAACCGTTATGAGAAACTTTGAGAGAAAACTCATAACGGAAAAGAATGCAATTATATATGCCATTGAAAACTCCTTTAAAACCCAATGGGAAAAATATAAGGAGAAAATGATATGACATATGTGAACACTTGTATCTATATTGTCTCGTTAAAAACCTTTTATGAGAAACCATTAGGGAAAAACTCATGAAGGGAAAAAGAGTACAGTATATGCAATCTAATGATTGTTAATGGGTTATACTTTGGGAGATTACTCCCCCTGAACTTTGCAAATCTGGAGGATGTCTCATATCAATTACATTGACATGATCATGACATTAGGAATAATCCGTTGGATTTTCCAGTATTTTTCTGTAAATTGTTTCCTCACTTTTTATAATTCATGAGGATAAGTGATCTCGACCAATGTGCTTTGTGATATTGCTCTTCATATAACTTGTATGTATTGACTAACACAAGTGGTAGCATGTTGATAAATCAAGTTACGTTATTCCGATGAATCTCAACCACATGGTATTGAGTGTGGTTAATCATTCTGCTAAGCCAAGCATATTTTCAATGCATTTATATAAAGCAATTATGTCAGTATGATAAGTGGAAGTAGCCGTTAAATTCTATTTAGATGACTTCCATAAGAAGGCTATTCCATCAAATTTCAAGAAATATACCAGCCAATTGGAACGACACCACCATTGTTATGATACCGAAGACCGAATCGCCAGAATTGGTAACTCAATATCGCCCCATTAGCCTTTGTAATGTCCTTTATAAAATCATTTCTAAGATGTTGGCCCAACGTCTTAAAAATATCCTTCCTAAAATAATTTCCCCTACTCAAAGCGCATTTGTACCTGATAGAATGATCACTGATAATATACTGATTGCTTATGAATGCGTACATAAGATCAAGAATAAAAGAGCTGGCCAGTCGGGTCTTTGTGCCGTCAAGTTGGATATGCACAAGGCATATGACAGAGTAGAGTGGTGTTTCCTCCGGAACATGATGATTACTTTGCGATTTCATGAACAATGGGTGGAGATGATAATGGCCTGTGTTAGCTCTGTTAAATATAATGTGAGATTTAACTCTCAGGAGACGGACTCGTTTATCCCTACTCGTGGGATTAGACAAGGGGATCCACTGTCCCCTTACCTTTTCCTACTTTGTGCAGAAGGTC